ACTGCTACTACTACTAAGTACTACTACTACGACGACGACGACGACCACTACTATAGTACTGCTCCTGCTACACTATCATGAGATATCGTTCTTGGACGTCGGACGAGCCGGTGGCAAGCGCAGGACAGGGCTTTGTCTACAGGCGATCGTCAAAACGCACCTCGCCTCCTACTCGTTAGAAGAAAGTTGAGAACGAGAGCGAAGATCAGGATCATGCTGCCAGTGATCATGGCCACCCTACGGTTGTCACGCAAACTACCAATGGTGTTTGCGATGATGCACCTGCAGCTCTGGAATGAAGTTGATGATGGTCATGGTGATTGTGGTGAAAACTGCGAAGAAGATGATGACGGTGATCGTGATGATGATGGTGGTGATGATGATGCTGGTAATGATGATGATGATGGTGATGATGATGATGGCGATGCCCGGACGAGGATGGGATGATAATGGTGCTAGTGTTGGTGTCGGCGGTGTCCGTGACTATAACCTCTGTTGGAGCATGTCACTTGCGTTACCTCCCAGCTTGTAGACTTCCTTGGATCTTTGCTGGAACTGTTTGTGCCTCTCAACCCGTGCCCTTCTAAACTCCAATCCTTTCCGTCGCTCGATAGTGTTCTGACCGGTGCAAACGGCACAACCCAAGCCCTAAGTAAAGAGGCTTCAACCCTAAACCCATTTAAACCACAAAAAGAAAACACCAACCTCAATCCCCCCTACTCCAAGCCCAAAGCGCTACAGATCCCACATCAGCTCCAAACCGCGGCCCTAAGGCTTAGACTCTGAACGCAGTTGCAGAACTCTAAAGAAAATCCAGCACCTCAAGGCCTAAGAGGTTCGCCCGGCTCGGCCAATTTTTTCCGGCTCCTTGCAGGCTGTGTCCCTCGAAACCACAAGGCAGGGCTTGGCAGCTTCCTTTGTAAGGCTTTTCTGCGGTCTGTTGTCTCGGGTTTAGGGTTCGGGGCTTGAGCCCTGAAAGGCTTACTTTACTGCAAGGTTTGGGCCTGAGTTCCTTTTTTCAGAGCTATCGGGTTAGGTTAGCGCCCCGGAGGCGTAGGGTTTCGAAGACAAAGGCTCTTGTTGCGCCTTTTGACGTTGCCTTGAGACCTTGTCTTAGGGCCCCAAAAAGCACATAAGCA